ACATTAATAAAATGGTATAATCATCCATCAAAACACTACCAAAATCGAAAATTGGATCATATGAAAAGAAACTCTCTGCTAATATGATTTAATAGATTAATAAAAAAAACTTGAGATTAATTAGAGTACTTGTTTGTGAGATGAGACTTATTGGTAAATATCCCATAAAAGATTTGGAGTGTCACATCATACCTGTCACTTTATTACATTTGAAAAAAGTACATTAAAATTTTTTTAATTTTTTTAAAAAATCACGTCATAGCCACCATGTTGGAGTTTCACATTAATAATTGTCATATTAAAATTTCACATCATAACTGCTACATTAATAAAAGCACATAGTCGCTCACCAAAAATACTTCCAAAATCGAAAATATGAACACAGAGAAAGAAACTTTCTATTAATAGGACTTAACAGATCAATAAAAAAAACTTGAGACTAATTAAAGTACTTGTTTGTGAGATGAAACTTATTGATAAATATCCCTAATTTTTTTTACAATAATATTACATTCATACAATTTCTTTAGAGATGTTTTTTTCTTTAAATGTGTGCAAAGTTAATTAATTCTTATAAAATAGGATAAAAAAATATTTTTTTTACGTCAATTTAATTGCTGAAAATATGAGAGAAATAAATTGAATACATACCTAAACTTGAACATTATTGGCACAAATGGGTGAGACAAGATATTCTATTGCCTTTAAAATAAGAGGCAATTCAAGTTTATTTGAACAACTATTGTAATGACTTTGTGAGTTGGATGGGCCCAATGATGATTCATGAGTTGGACCCACTATGTTTTTCTCAAAACAAAAATGTTAAATTCAATAAATAAAGATCTTACTTAGCGGACCTAAAAAGGTTACTCAGAAATTTATCTAAAATAATTTTATGTTTTTGATTGATTTTGGTCACGTTTGAAAACTTGATTTTTAGGGTAAAAAAACTAAAAAGTTAAAAAAAACAAATTAATTAAAAAAATCATTGAAAAAGTTAAAAACCTAAAAGGTCATCAAAAAAATCAATTATATACACCGGTTATTTACATTTTTTTCAAAAACAAAAATGTTAAATTTAATAAATAAAGATCTTACTTAGCGGACCTAAAAGAGTAAGGATTTTTTCCTAAAGTTTCCTAGAGTGCTACATTGTTTGGTTGAGATTTACTGGCAAGTCATATCAATTTTTCTGATGTGACTTGCCAATAAATCTCAACCACACAATGTAGCACTCTAGGAAACTTTAGGAAAATTTCACTGTAGAGGATCCTTGGTGGACCTAAAAAGGTTACTCAGAAATTTATCTAAAATAATTTTATATTTTTGATTGATTTTGGTCACGTTTGAAAACTTGATTTTTAGGGTAAAAAAACTAAAAAGTTAAAAAAAACAAATTAATTAAAAAAATCATTGAAAAAGTTAAAAACCTAAAAGGTCATCAAAAAAATCAATTATATACACCGGTTATTTACATTTTTTTCATAAACCTATAAATAAATAAATAAATAAAATTAAACACAATTTCTCTTTCACCTCATAAAAAAATTCAAAAAGTCGGTAATAAATCAAACTCCAAATGAGGCCTTTAGATGCAAATCTCACCTTTGAATAGTTAAATCTAAATCACACATTAAACTTCTAAGCCTCCGTTTGGGAAGTGGGTTGGCTTTTTAACTTTAAAGCCTGGGCTCAAAAGCTTGGTTTGGGAAGGATTTTTGGCTTTTTTGATTTTTTTGTGAGAGAATAGTGTAATGATTATGGGATTGGATGGGATGTTTTGTCTGTTGTGGCTCATGAGCCTATTCTGTTTTTTATGGCTCATTGAGCCAAAAAAGCCCAATGAGCCAAATAAAATTTTGATTTCCATTATAGATGCTTAGTTCTCCTGAAATTTATTTGTGGAGTTTATTTTTCAAAAATCTGAGGCATTTTTTTCTTATCTTTTTTTGTGTGTGTTGGTTTTGTATTCTGTTAGACATATTATTCTGAAAAATGAATGAGGGACAGAAAAGGCCAGGGTGGTTATTTGGTCGTCTTCGAGTATTCCTTTACATGATTTATTACTTACATTTGCTGAGTTACTTCTTCAAAACTTAACAACAAAAAATATTTGCTCTGTTCGGTTTTTAGAAAAGAATTTTAAATTTTTGAATTGTATTTTAAAAGATAAGTTGTTGAAAAGAATGAGTGTTTAGGAAGAGGGGTGGACTAAAATAGTTCATTAAAAGACAAAATGGATTAAAATAGTCAATAATACAAAATGTCACATTCAATTCATAATCATTTTACTTTTTCTCTCACAACCATCAAATCAATTATAAAAAAATAAAAAAACCAATCAACTTTTCAGACACAACTATTTTAGTCAGACTAAAATAGCTAAAAAGTTAAATAATCAACTAAAGTAGCGAACTTCACAAATAAGATTAGAATTTTAAAAATTGAAAATTTATTTAGTTATAAGTTTTGAAAATAATTTTAAGATGATTTGTCTTTATTTTATATTTTTGTAAGTGAATAGATGGGTATGAGAAAAATTTGATTAATTGATATGTAAAATGTGAGAAAATGAGAGAGGAGAGATGATAGAGAAAAAGTGATTGATTGATTTATTAATAAATAAAAAAAAAAAAGAGAGAAGAGAAAACAATTTTGAAAATTTATTAACCAAACATTTTTTTAATTTTTGATCAAAATATTAATTTAAAAACCAAACCAAATACTACCATTAAATTTTACCATTTCAACTGATAAAAATCAAATAATACTACGTAATAAAGAGGTGAAAGAGTTATAATAATGTGGTGGGCTCACAAGGCATGCCCCTAGACATGATTGATATGAAGATGTAGGCATATTTTGGAGAAAAGATTAAAAGTTAATTTTTTTAGTTTTTTTTTTTAAAAAAAAATATACAAAAATAAATTAATTAAAAAATCAGAGAGATAATTTGATTAAAAAGAGTAAGAAAAAAAAAACTAAAAAGTTAACTTTCAATCGTTTTGTCAAAATAGACTGTAGTGCTTTAGCAATGATACATGAAATGATTTGATGTGTCTGCTCTGCCCCCATTATGAAAAATTATTGGCGGGACTAGGAGAGTCACGTGGCTATGCCCCTCACTAATCATAATTTATTACGTCTTTTCATATTTTTCAATCACTCAATACAAATTTGTAAGCCTTACCCTCTCCACCAATTGTAATACCGTTAGAGACAACATGTAACAGTACTCCAAGACTAACCAATAACTTCCTCCCATTTTGGTGCAATGAAATAGATGATCCCCAACTAACTCTGCCACCCCCAAGGCTATGTTTGGTTTGCTCTACCTTGGTGTTTAATAATAATATAAAGAATTGAGAGTTTTAATTTTGAAACTCTAAAAAGAGCTCTAATGATATGGTAAAAAATGGAATCCACATGTGATGTAATGTGTGTACTATGTTTTTGTTTTTGTTTTTTTTCTTTTACCATATCATTAGAACTCTATGTAGAGCTCCAAAATTAAAACTTTCTATCATTATTGTAATGTTAATTACACTTACTTCTCTAATATATTTTATATTTTTATATGATTACATTGATTTTTCTTTTATTAATAAGACAAAAGTTACCAAAACTAAACACATAATCTATAGATATTGAAATAAATATAAATAAATATAAATTTTAATAGAAAAACTATGATAACATTATTTTTTCTTTCATTCGATTAATGAATTGTTAATAAAAAATGTTCTAATTATTATATAAATTAGAACTAAAAAAAGAAAACTAATGTAACAATATAAAAATTATAGAACCAAAAAATTTTCCAAACATCACGAGAGGTGAGTGTATTTACCCTTAACAATATGTCTGCATTACACACAACACTTGGAAATCCATGACAAGCTTGCCAAGCATTGCCTTCATCCCACGCCGGCCTTTACTCAAGCTTATTTGTTGTTGCTTATGTTTGCAAGATCAGAATCTTTCACCAACAAAGGTTCATCTGGTTGGTAAGAGAGTTTGCTCCTCTCTTTATTGATTAGGGTTCAAATTTCTTATTACTCAAGTAAAAATCTGAAGGTTTAGGTAATTTTGGTAACTTCTCACAATTTAGCTTATAAAGATGGATCCTAAAAGTTCTGCCTCGGAGGTGTTCTCGACCCCAAAAAAAAAAAAAAACAGAATCTTCTATCCCCATCTTATTATGGTAATCCAATGACTCGAGTTTGAAGTCAAAACAAAACAATATCGTTTTAAAGTGTGTAATATTTTTTTTATGTTAATTTTTGGATTACATTCTCTATTAATGTGTCATTATATGATTTTTATCACACCAAGATCATAACAGGAAAAATCTTAGCATATAATCCGGATCAGTAGATTCGAATCATAGAGGTAACTAGACAGATGTTTTATGACAATTGGTTGGTTTACATCGAAAGCAAATCATTTTTGTACATAAATTAAGGTACTTGTAATCTTGAATCAATTTGATCATATGATTTGCACATGAATTAAGGTACTTGTAATCTTAAATCAGTTTGATCATAAGAAAACTCCGTGAGTAACAAGAAGTCAATTAAGTCAAAATCATACCTATCGTCGTCTATCTATTTAAAGGCAAATATAACAAAATATTGTGATAAGTACTTCGAATCAATAATAGGCAGGCATCTAGAAATAAAACCCAATATTGAACCAACCAAGCTCAATTCAACAAAGTACGGCATCAAACAAAACAAAACAATGACCCTGTTCAGCAAGTGAATTTTTGACTCTTTTTTTTAACAAGGCAAAGTAGATTAAAATAACTAATAACACAAAAATATCACATCAAACTCATAATCATTTCATCTTTTATCTTTACAAATATTACACCCAACTACAAAAAAATCTAACCATCTTCCCAAACACAAAAAATTTAACCTACTAAAATAGTCAAATTTCCAAACAAGGCCATATTCAATCAAGATCACAGTAGGCAACACAGCTCAGAGCAAGCATCAAAATGAACTAAAACATCAATGCATATCACCAAATTCATCTTGTTCCAAAGTACCAATCATTTGAAAACAAAGAAAAATGAGGTTCAAAATAACTTAAAACTAAATTCCTGTGTAGTTTCAACACATCCATTGTGCTCTTCAAGAATAACATACTGTTTTGAAACTTTTAAGCTGGAGGCAGGACTGACCAAGAGTCAATTAGGGCTTTCATAAATGGTGAGGTAGCTAGCTAGCAAGCTATCTTCCCATGATGTGGAAGCAACAATTACAAAAATATATAAATAATAAGAAATGTCTAACATAACTGAAAATAAACACGCACCAGACAGAGAACCTAACTATACAGGTCATCTTCATCAGCCGCACCAGCAGAGGCTGCAAATGGGTCCGATCCAGTGGTGGCCGCCGCCGCTGCACTGGTCTCCGAGAACCGGAATTCAGATCCAAACCCTCGTGACTGCTGCAATGTTTGAGCAAATGCCTGGTACTTGCGAATGTCGGCATCGCTCACACTCCTTCGAGCATACTTCATTGATTCCTCAAAATGGGCAGCCTTGATCTCTGCCACCTCATCTTCCACATCCTCTTCCATGGCCTCAGGGTTGTCTCTCCTCCTCCTTTCCCTCTCAATATCCTGCAAACAAAAGAAATAATCAGTCATAATATCCTGAGTCTGGGTAATGTACAAAAGGGTTTCAACATCAGTAGTTATTGAAGAAGTCCACTGAATTTCAAATGATCGAAATCAGCACATTGTGTCATGAAAATATTAAGTAATTTTTTTTAAATATAACCGAACTTCAAATAATCAATTTTGTTAGCAAGGACAAAATTTCCACTTCACGAGCCATAACAAGTAAGCTACAAGTTAAAATGGTCTTCAGATCTAAAGACGCAAGAACAGAGCAAACAGTATCAATTTCTCCAACATGTTCAAAATAATGGAACTTCACCCAAGGGATCAATGAACAAAATCATTGCAAAGAGAATGATAATTCAATATTTAAAATGAAGGTCATGTAAGAAAACTACCCATCAACTCCTAAGCAAACTATCCATTTAATAACTGCCCAACCGAAAGAATTATTATCGACTCAAATTATCGATTTAATAGTTACAGCGAGGCATTGAAAATGTAATACAAGGCACCAATGGCACTGTGCCATGTCACTTATATTAGCCCTTTAATAGTTGTCA